CGGCCAGGGACACCCAAAGTTCGGCGAACAGGCGAGACGCCCCCCCCCGCCCCAAACCCCCCCCCCCCCCCCCCCCCCCCCACAATCCCCAAATCGGCTGCCTAAACCCAGGTTCAAAGTGCAGCGGAGAAGGAAGGAGTAGGGACGGTGGGGGGGACCCCGGCCATCTGTAGAGACAAACCGCCCCCCCCCCCCACGCTTCCCCTTCTGACCTAAAGGCTGAGTTGGCGAGTCCTCATCCCGACGGGCGAAGGAAGCGTGTCTGGATTTCCCCGCCCTCCCTAACCCGGGGCCGTCTGCGTCTTCCCGTCCCGTCCCCTTTCTCTCTCTCTCTCTCTCTCTCTCTCAATCTCTCCCCCCCCCACGCCCGTCCTTTGCATCCTGCCCACTTCATTTGCATCTCTTATATGGCCTAATGGAGAGCATCAAGAGGGAGTAGTAGTAGTAAGTAGGGAGGCCCCGCCGTTGCATTTGCACCGCAGAATCCGCCGCAAGAAACAGGTGTCAGCCGCGAGAGCTCTCGGGGACTTCCCGTTGCAAGCCGGATCGCGGGGCTTTGGGGGAGGGAGGTTGTGGGGGGGTTTTTTTGGTGTGTGTGAGGGGCTTTCCTTCCCCCTTTCCCTTTCCCTATCCTCCCCCTCCCCCCTTTTCTTTTTCTGCCCCTGTGTGTGTGTGTGTGTTTGTCTGTCTCTCTCTCTCTGTCTCTCACTGTCCTGTCCTGTCTGTTTGTCTCTCTTTTTTTTACCTTTCCCTCCTTCCCTCCTTCCCTTCCTTCTGGGCTTAAAATGGTGTCCAAACTCAGCGCTTTGCAACACGAGCTCCTCAACGCTCTGCTCGCCTCCGGAGTCACCAAAGAGGTCTTGATTCAAGCGCTGGAGGAACTGATGCCTTCGACCAGCACCGGCGCAAGCAGCACCAACGCTCCGGCGGCCGGAGGTGGCGGCGGCGGCGGCGGCGGCGGCTACGGGGTGAAACTGGAAAATTTGCAGCTGTCGCCCAACGGAGGCGGCGGCGACGGCGGGACGGAGGCGGACAGCAAGCCCATCTTCCACACTCTGACCAACGGGCACAGCAAAGGCAGGCTGTCGGGGGACGAGGGGTCGGACGACGGGGATGATTTTGACACCCCGCAGATCCTGCGGGAGTTGCAGGCGCTCAACACCGAGGAGGCGGTGGAGCAGAGGGCCGAAGTGGAGAGGATGATCAGGTAAGGGAGGAGATTTTTTGGGGGGGGGGGGCGGGGGGGGAGGGGGCGGGGGGGGGGCGGGGGGGGGGCCCGGGGGGGGGGGGGGGGGGGGGGGCTGCGGGAGAAGGTAGCGCGGTAGAGCCAGTGTGCGCCTCCCCCGCAAGGGCGCGGGGTTCGGGAGAAAGTGATGGGAGGTTGTCCGAAAGGGGGAACGGAACGTTCAGAGTGGAACGTTCGGAATAGAACGTTGGGATAAAAGGAATGGAACGTTCCGGCCACACTGGATAGAATGTTCCGGCCACTGAATGCACGGCCTCATTTGCAAAAGTGCGCTTTCGCCGCCCTTCTCTGTACCCCTCGCAAAATAATACCGCGGGTGGCTTTTGTTTTTAAAAATTATTATTTTTAAAACCGAACAGCCGTTCAGGTTTTGATTCCAAACGTTTTCTCTCTCCCCCCCGCCCACACCTTTGCTTTGCGCCTTTCCCTTCAAAGAATGAATGACTCGCTGTGTTTGCGTGCATGTGTAATACAAATGTACACAATTCGTTTACACAACTTTGTCCGCTTGTCTCCTTGTCGTTGTGCTGGGGGAAAGGATGACCGAGCCACGTGAGAGTTTCAATCGATTTTTATCTCTCTCTCTCTCTCACTCGCACACCCACAATCAAGGACAAGCGCCAGTTTAAAAAAGAAAAAAGAAAAGTACATAGCGCGGAGATAAATTTCTTTTTAACTGATTAAAATAATCCCAGCAAAACGAAATCAGGGTGGTTTTTTTTGTCTCTCGGGAGCAGCGCAATCCTTTTAAGTATTTACTGGCGAGGAGTTTAGGGATTGCAACTGTCCCCTAAGAGAGAACGTGAGCCTTTTCATGTTCCGAAATGATAACACCTGGAGGAGGCTAAATAATAAAATTAAGAATGCAGCAGCGCTAGAAAAGGATCATACTGTTATGATTATTTCTTTGCTTTGTTCTTATTTTCATTTTATTGGACGGGAGCAAAAGAGTTTTTGTAAGGAAAAGACGAAGAACTTGGGGGCAAAGTATAGTTTTGTAGAATTAACACTGAAATCATTTTAGACTAAAATTTAAAGTGGTTCTGCAGAGTTTATATATGGAAGATAGATATATGGAATATATATATGTGTGTGTGTGTGTAAGATAGATATAAATACCTAAGCCTAGAATTTTTCTATTGTTTTGTCTTGAGACAAAAATTCCATTAGAAACTCTCTAAAAATTATCTAAGGTAAAGATCAAATAAGCGGAAGGGACAGCCTTGGAAACAAGATTTGAAATACAGGCGGGAAATACCTCTTTCCTGTATCTATCTATGCAGAAATGCATAAAAGTGCCACAGGACAATATTTTATACCAATGAATAAAGTTGGTGGGATAAGCGTGTAAATTAAATTCTCCATGCTACGAAACCAGTCAAACATGAGCTGAACTGAATTTTGCGGCTTGGGGTGGGGTGGGGTGGGGTGTAGTAACTGATCCCCCCCCCCGAGCCCGATCAATCTTGAGACAGGTCGAAAGCAATCGCACCTTATTCTAAGGTTCAGACCTAACACGTACGAACACGGTTGGTTGCGCTGAGGCTTTGACACGTGTTAATATGTAATGGCCGTACAATTCAGACATCCCTAAAGCTCTTTCAGATGTTAACAGGCCCTGTATTGTGTGTGTGTGTGTGTTTAATTTTGTAATATCCTCCAATGAATGTGTGATGGTTGCACACTGTCTAGGAACTAATAGCTGGGAGGTGGGTATCAGATGGAAGTTCAAGACAGCACTATCTTTTTCGTTCAAATAACTTAAAAGTATAAAACCAAAGGAGAATTAGTTCGCAGGCACCTTGGCGCCCTCTGAGCTTGGTTGTTTTCTTGCAGAAGTTTCCTTACCAGAACTAGGTTACTTCATTAGTAACATAACATAATGAGAGCAAATCCCACTCCCTTCAATCACTGATGATGTTACCTAGTTGGGTAATGAAACGTCTGCAAGGAAACAACCAAGCCCAGTGAGCACCAAGGACCCCTCATTTCAAGCCTGAGTTACAATTATTCTCCTTTATGGAAGTTAGTTTCCATTCCCACACCATTCCGTTTTAATGGAACCATAGGCTTACCTGATGTAAAAATAATAAATAAAATTACATTGATAGAAATTGCAGTGGTGGGGAAAAAGGGTGTGTGTGTGGGGTAACTTCCAAGGAACATGTTGAGGGCAGAGTCATTCAAACGCCATATATGTTAATTCTCTCCCCTCCTTCCCAAATATCGCCTCCAGTCAAGATGCCAAGAATCTTTGTGTCCAGAGTAGTAGTAATAGTAGTACCGTAGTAAGTATAAGTAATATCCGTTACCTATCAATTTCTAAAGATAGGCTTTGTGGAGAGAAAGGTGTGAATTTGATGAAAAGGAATCTAGCAATAATTAACTCCAGGTAAATCTTTTCACTTCCTAAGAATATTTTCTCCCTCCTTCTAATACCTTTTGTCCAGTAAAAACTTTCATCAGCTGTTGATTCACCAATACGAAAACACCTTTTTTTTTTTTGGTTCGTTGAGGTCCTAAACATGCGTGTCCCGCGCCTGTGTGTGTGTGTGTGTGTAAAAATGCCAGCGCACACGCACCTACATACGTGTCTTCCAACTTAAGAGTCGAGCGGCTTTTGACAAGTTGGTTACTAATTATCCCTCGTCGTTTTGCGGAGCTTTTCCGCCCGTCCTTCCCTCTTTTTAGCAAAATATCAACTAAATAAACTGCTATTTATTAACCTGCCGCTCAGTTTAAAGTCAGGCTGGGGGTTTTAATTCTGTTTCTTCGCAAGTCAGTTTTATAGGAAGCCACCGGTTCAAAATTGGAGTTTTGGGGGGCCTTTTTTTTTTTGTGTTTTTTGCGAAAACGAAAGGTAACTTTTTACGTCTCCCTTAGAAGATAAACGTTTCCAGGTGGATCCTATTTACGGAAAGCGCTGGTTAAAATAACGATTGGGGTAAGAAGATCGCAGAGCGAATCTCTCTTCCAAATTCTTCCCATTAAGGAAATAAAAATAGAAAGCTTAGAGGGGTTTTAGGATTTAGCCCGTTTAAGAGAAATTAAATGCTTTTGGACTAAAGAAAGGTTTAACTTTTCAAGAAGGGTGCCGAAAAGTGGTTTTTAAACCTTAAGAGTCTGTGGGAAATATCTGATTGTTTTCCGAGTTCGCTCACAGAAACTAGTTTGCAATCGGGAGGGAGTATTATTTTTCCAAGCGGAGGGGAGGGGGGATTGTTTAGGATCGAAGCTAGCTTTTATTTAGCTACATTTCCATATTTCTTAAGCGCCCATCTCCTTCGTTCTTAGGCTTTTTTCCTATCGAGTTTGCTTTTCGGGACTTGGCGAACCCCAAAATTTTGATTTGGGGAATGAGGGGCGCTTCAACGGACAAAGCCGGGCAGGATCGGGAGTCTGGAGAAAAGGAGAAGTGGGCGAAAAATTATTCGGGAGTTTTTGTTTTTTTCTCTGCTTGCCACCGCGATCCTGTCGCGGGCCTTGAACAGGCTGGCTTCGAGGGCTTTCGATTTAGGGATTCCCCCAGTCCAGAGCCAACCGAAGGAGGGCGCCGAGTTTAAGAGTGCCAGTCTCTCCGCTGTTCCTATATTCAGCGCGGTGCGACCGGAGGCCCGCGGCCGTCGGAATTGAACTCACAGCCTGGGCATAAAGAGTGGCCTTCTGAATGGCTTAGGGTCGGCTTTGCCCAACACCTGCCAAACTCCCAGGTCCTTGGGAAGGACTTGAGAGGTGGATTTAAAAAATAAAAAAAAAGCCAAATCCACCTCGACTGCGCGACGAGCCGTAATAATCTCATTCTTATTCCTTGGTGCTCTCTGAGTTTAGTTGTTTTCTTGCAGAAGTTTCGTTACCTAAACTAGGTAGCATCATCAGTGCTACCCTATTTTGGGTAATGGACTGTCTGCCAGGAAACAAACCGAGAGCACCAAGCGTACATTTCAACTCGGAGGCATTTACAAATATTCCCCTTTATTGGTATTCCTTCTCCATCTGTTCTGAAGGGCTGTAGAAATATTTAGAATTAGTTATTTTGTTCAAAACCGGTTCTCCTTCAACAATTTTCTCTCTCTCTCTCTCTCTCTCTCTCTCTCTCTCTCTCTCTCTCGCTCATTCTCTCTCTCTCTCATTCTCTCTCTTTCTCCCCCTCCCTCCCTCCTTCTCTCTCTCTCTCTCTGTCCCACTCTTATACTCTTATTCTCTCTCTCATT